ATGGTTTGTCTTTCACACAGTAATACACAACAGAGTTTTCTGGTTTTAGGATGGAAGTCTCAGATATGTCATACTGTTGCTGTTGTCTTCGGTAATTCTATATGTCCACTCAAACAGCTCATGTATCTGTTTCTCCTGGAAGATAAAAAGCCTTTTCCTATCCATTCCGGTTTGTTTCCTGGTTATTGTTTTATACAATCCATAGTACAGCAACAAACTGTGAAACCAGATCCTTTAAAGGAGAAACTGAGAGTCTCTCCAGGCCTTTTCACTACAGGATTGGAAGGAATGGACTCCATACTCTGACCTGTAACAGCTGAGGAGATGAAAACAGAGAGAAACAAGTGAGACAGATAAAATGATAGACAGATAAAAGTATCATTAACTCACCATCAAGCAGTGTGTCCTGGTACATGGTGAAATAGTGAGCAGCACAGGAACTCAGGGGGAAGCAAAAAAGCAATCGATGAGGTACAGCGCAAATGCTATGGCAAGGACGAGCCAGGACGTCAGGTCATCCATATTCGTTCATTCATAGTTTTGATGCCTTCAGTGAGAATCTACCATGTGAATAGTCATGAAAATAAAGAAAAGCATTAAATGAGAAGGTGTGTCCTGGTAGTGTATTAAATACTAATATTTCCAATGTTAATAAATGTGTTTTTGTTAACGTGAAAATATGGGATAGTCTGAAAGTGCAACAGATCACCTCAGAGGTTGCCAATAGTAAGCTTTAGTGTGTTTAGTGCTCTCCCTGCCAGTTGTGAATTCCTCTAAACCTCAAGTACACAAATGCAATTCATTCAAATACAGGGAGTGTACAGATTTACAAGGACACTACATATGTTTGCAAAGAAGAAGAGTTACAACAACAGTCTTTGTGCTTTCAAATGACTGCACCTCTTCATAACACCACTGGCATACCAACACATTTATCGGCATCTTGAAATTACTACATGAAAAGTTTTTTACATAGAGGTGGAAACTATATTGCTGCGTCTGCACATGGAGCTTTGTCTCACTCTTGTGGAAAATCTGAGAATTACAATATCTTGGAGCATGAAGCAATTTTCTGAAGGATAAACATGGTGTTCATTATTATTATTATTATTATTATTATTATTATTATTATTATTATTATTATTATTATGATAGTAAAAATGCACGGTATAATTTAAAAATTGGACTGGAATCTTACTTTTAAACAATCAAATGACAGGCGCTTATCTTAATCAATGTAGCTATGATACCATATAAAGTGGTGATGATGAAAAAACCAATGAGGGTGAAAACTGCATTCCAGCTTTCCTCAGCTCACATCAGCATGCTCAATATCATCAAATAAAACACACTTCTTTTACTTGGGACAGGTCAAGGTGGCTCTGGAACTGAACTTTCCATCTGGGCATCTTTGGGGTCACTAGTGTTGTAGTTCAGCAGTTCTTTGTCTCCATTTAGAAAACCAGTGATGTTAATGGATACAGGACTGAAGCCAAAAACCAGGCACACGAGTTCATTAGAGCCCTGAAACAAGTAGGCAGATGGTTGGCTGTAGATCACTGAGGCTGGAAAGATGTGCATTACAGTTTTAGTAATCAGTTAATCATTTTAATCAGTTTTGTTAAAATGAATATAATGGAAATAAAAGATTAATGTTAAATGCTAAACAGCAGCTCACCAAACACATCAGTTATGGTGGCTTCAACAAGTGCTTCAGATGACTCATGTTTGACAACACAGGAATAGGTAGACCTTTTGTCTTCAATTTTGGATATGTTTCTTCCCAGTACACTAAGATGTTAGCAGGGAAAAATCCAGACACTAGGCAAACAAGCGTTAGGATGTCAGACACTGAAAGTTCAGAGGCAGTTGGTTGCATTATCTTCACTGTTGGCACACAAAGGTCTTGAAAAACACTAAAGGGAGAGAACCATAAAAATACAGTCACAACCAGAGGAACATGAAGTTTAGAAAGAGCTGTAATCAATTTGTAACATTTCTAACATTACCTCTGTTTTTGCTTATATGGTCTTCATTGCCCTGATTGGAACATGGATGTTTTCCTTCACAAAACCCTTGTTTATCTGCATCACAATTTTCTGCGGACACATTAAGGAAGCTCTGTTAAGTCTCCGTCCCATTGTTGTGACTCACTGCAGGATTAGTAAGGACATAACAGTCAGGAATTTTGGTGCCCGCTGATTTCCAGGTGATGGAGAAATCATTAACACTAGGGGCAACCAGAAGACAGATAACAGTCACGGGTCCTTTGTTCTCAGGCTGTTGCAGTGGTGATGGTCCCTGAACATAAACCCCAACTAGCTGTGAGGATGATGGAGGTACTCAAAAAACCCCAAAACAAAAACAAAAACAAAACAATTCTTAATATGTATCACAATAATAGTATTTTCACTTTACCTGTACAGAGATTGACATTTCTTGTGATATTTTTATTCATAGACCTGTCAGATACTGTACAAGCGAAGATCTTCCACTCAGAGTGATCAATTATAAGTTGGCTGGTCACTCCAGCATGTCCATCTACACTCATGCTGAGATCAGTGGTTGTTGGAGATCTTTGCTGAGACTCGTTAAACCATCTAATATGAGCGTTGAAGACCCATCCGCAGCATAAGAGTGTCTGTGATCTTGACTCCTTACTTTGGACCAGAAGAAGCTCCACTAAAGTGAGACAAATCAGGGCATCAATTAATCGATTTAACAGAAACCATTAAAGTATAAATCAACAAAGTTAAATCAGCTGCCTAAAAGGGAAGCGAGAGTAGCTTACTACCAAAAATATAGCTGGTAGAGTTTGCTCTCCTCTGCATGTTAAATGCTTTACTTGCTTCCACCAACTCAAGAAAAAAGTTTACTGATAATAAGAGTTGTGTTTTACTCTCCGCGCATTTTTTCATTCATGGCGCTCCATTAATCAGCCAGGAGATCATGGCATGAAAATTAGTGTGGACCCAACATGTTCCTTGCACATTAGAGTCTGACGCTTAAGTCTTAAACTTGGGAATCTCCACATGAATGGAAGGTGAATTTCTGTGGAATTAAAGAAAAACATGCTAATTAATAAACTTTATCTTAAGACTGTTCTTAATTTATTCAAGATATACCTGCAAATGAGCATGGTGAATATGGGCTTTGAGACAGTAGCTGTACATACTCACTGTGACAAATGCTTATTGTCATCTTATATTCATTTAAACTGTGATTAGCTTTGCAGGTAAAAGTTGATCCTTGTCCCCACACTGAGAGTTTGCTGCTCAGGCTGAAGGTTTTCTGCTCTGTCCCTTCACTTTGTAGCTTCGTTCTGCTTGGCTTCTTGTTTTGACTCAGTGGTGATTTGTCCTAAAACCACACCAAAGCCAGTTTGTCTGGAAAAAAGCTGATGAGCCTTACTGGTGAGATTCCAAATTCCCAGTCCGAGACTGGGTACAATGTGATGTTTGGCAACACAATCCATGGCACTGAAATAAAGAAGAGATTAGTTTGATTTGCATAACTCATTATAAATATCATGTGTGAAAACAAAGAAAAACATTAATCTTATCTAAGTTATACATACCTTCAGATTCTGGTAAATGCAGAACTCTTCAATTTCAGTTGTCATTAAGTTATGTTAGAGTTGTACTTTTACATTATTTAGTGTTGTTCAGTAAGGTGAAAATAGGGCAGGAAGTCTGTTGCACAGTTGTTATGCATGATAAGGCAGAGTGATCAGGGCAAGCAGCAAGCGGAAGCATTGAGTAACAACCAGGTCTCAAAAAAGTACCAAAACACAGAAGTGAGAGAATGCAAAGAGCAACGGAGCATCACAAACAGCAGGTGTGAGGTGTGGTTATGCCAGTAAGAGAAACAAGATGCACATTTAAATTTCTCATAACAGTTTGCATGTGTACCAAATACACAATATCTTATCACTTTGCCAAATATTTTAGTTCTCAAATCTTGTAATAATAGACTAAAATGCAACCAGTTGTAAAAGCAACCATTTGGCATTTTTGGTATCACATGAGCTGCTGATCCCAGCGCTGTGGATGTGGGTTGGCCTGTAGTTATCTAATAATAACAACTTTAAGCATCTGTGTAAAGCATATAAATTATTCACTGTTGCTCTTTTCTTAGTGTAATTCTAGCAGCCACTGTCAATATCTGATCTAATATCTGATCTGATCAATTCTTCTGTAAATCTGATGTGAAGTTTTTTACAGAAGAAAGATTGCCAAGTGTGATTAGCGTTTATGCCACATGCAGTTTATTTTTCTGAATCATGTGTGAGTTTTAAACCACTGCCTGAAAGGTTTTTGAGTTACACAGTGGATCGCTGCGGTTCTAACCATTTCTCTGTTTGCAGTACCATTAAGACCCAATTTAGCTGCTCTCTCTTCTTGTCTTTGGAAATTTGTCACTCTACAGGTTATAAAAGGAGACGATGTAACACAAATACATCTCTCGGTAGATAACTCATGCAACAACAGTCTATAATGTTGAATCTTCTTGAATATCTCATTTTTACACTAACTAAAAGTTGGGACGAAGAAATTACAGTGTATTAATATTTACAAAAGTTCTGAAAATGAGAAAAACTAAAATACATAATTTTCTTGAACCATACTATACCAAACATTGATTATCAGATACATGTAAACAGGATAAAGACTATTGGATTTTGTACTGTTCAAGGAACTTCAGTTTGTAAATGTGAATTGAAGAATAAAATTTAGCTTTTTTTATTCATTTTTGGTTTTCTGAGTTTTTGTACAGTGTTTCTTCCTCTTGTGTCACTGTGACTCTCGAGCACAATAATAAACAGCAGAATCCTCAGTCGTCAAGCTGTTCATCTGCAGATACACCTGCTGTCTGCTGTTGTCTCTGGAGATGGTAAACCGGCCTCGGACTGACTGAGAGTAGTATTTGCTACTACCAGTACTAACTTCGGCAACCCATTCCAGTACTTTTCCGGGAGTCTGTCTGACCCAGTGCATATCATAGCTGCTAAATGAGAATCCAGAGGCTGTGCAGGTCAGTCTGTGGGACTCTCCAGGCCTTTTAATGACTGGTTCAGATTCTGTCAGAGTCTGACCATCAACACCTGTCAAAACAAACAAGAACATTGTCACCTGCTGTGAGCTGTGAGAAAATCATTAAAAGAAATTCAGCTCAAAATGACTGAAACTATACCTCCCCAGAACAGTAAGATAATCAGCAGTCTGGCCGATATGTCCATTATGTTAAACTGTGAGTTCACCCCTGTCATTCACACTTCAGTCACAAGAGTATTCTTTAAAATCACCCAAGTTTTGCATTAACTCCTCCCCACAGAAAGGATATAGTGTTCATCCTTCTTTTTTTCTTCTGATCCCCTATTTTAAATTAGATGATCAACAAGTAGTTGCTACCGTAAAGAGAACACAAATCAACCAGCCACACAGATGATCCAGTCATGTCTGGATTAATGAATGATTGTAGTTGTTTTCTACATAGAAGTGCATTAAAACATATTTGTCTCAAGATTGTTGAAGTCTTCAGTCAAATCACGTACTATGCTCATCTTAACTGAAGAATGTTTTTTAATATTGTGAGTAGTGCATCACTGTCATATATACAGCTACTTCCTTTAACACTGATGACAACTTGAAAGCATCAATGGTCCAAGAGCTCCTCCTGTGGTTTGTTAATATTAGAGCTGTTTAGACACTAAATGGTTTTTGTTCAAGTCAACTAGTGTTTTGTGTCACTGTTAGTCTCTGGCACAGAAATACACAGCACTGTCTTCAATTTGCACATTCTGTCCAGTTAGAATCACTGTGTTCGTGGAAGAGTGAAATGCTGAACTTATTTCTGAGTAAACTGTAGTGAGGTGTGCTTCCAGAAGCTGCTCTTCCAATCCACTCTAGTCCTTTTCCCAGAGCCTGTCTATTCCAGTGAGTCTAATAGCTGCGCACGGAATAAGACACCTTACAGGTGATGGTCAGAGGGTGACCTAAAAGCACACTCAAAGAGTCTGGCTGCGTCAGCTGTTCACACTTGACACCTGTTGAAAAAAGGCACGTGTTGTTGTAAATTATAACACAAAGAAGAAATGCTGGATATAACAAATCTATAGAGACTCACATCCAGCAGCTAAGAACACTAGCAGAGCTACAGACAACATATTGTTTGGTGTCTGTTGTGTTGTGAACTCTGCTTCACAATCTGATGTAAAGTTTTTATAACCCAGTAACAGAGAAAGCCTATGAGTTTGCATATGATCATACACATCATAGCTGGTCTAACTGGAGCCAATCAAAGAGTGTGTAAAACAGCTGATTGTTTCATTGCATTTAATATATCTGAAAACAATATAGTATTAAGATTTCCTTTTTTTTTCTTCTTTTTGTAGACCATCTAGTAATTAAAAAGAATATTAAATAATATAAATTTTACATGTTTTGGTATTATTTCAAAAATCTTAAAACCGTGTTACTGCTTACTAATGCTTTGGCTTGCTGGGATAAACCAGTGGTAGATCATTTTACCCAAAAGTACTAATTATGAGTGGCTTTTAAACAGTTATCATTTTGCACATTTTAAATCCACATTTATATGGCTGCAGAAATCAAAAACTGTTCACAACCAAATGTCACTGAGTATTGTGATATCA